GTGCTTAGGTGCAGCTGTCTCTGAGGTCACAAGAGACTTTGAGAGCTGCATGTGTTTGCTGATCCGATGTGTATTAACAGCTCAGGACACCTGAACGTACACACTACTCCCCCTAGGAGGATGGTGAGGGAAAGATTGACAGGTCAACTTCTGTCAAACTGGAAGGTGCTTTGGGACTAGGATGATGTGCATAGAGAAGAGATATGCTGAAGAGCCAAGTTCACAGCTAGGTATGAATGTGCATGAGAAGAAAGGTGATGAGACAGGCCAAACAGGAGGGCTGTGTTTAGCAATGACCACTCTCTGCAGTGACACCCCAGTGGCTGACACAGGGCCAGTGAACCTCAACAAATCTGCCCCCTCAGTAAGGTGAGACCTAGATATGGACAAACTCAGCAACTGGGGAAGGGGCCCTGGGGAGAGACCAGCAGAAATCCATAGGCTCCACAATTTCCAGTGAAATTTCCTCCATGCAGGATGAGGGAAAGCTAAGGGTGTGACCTCAAGTTGCTGTGGAAGTAGCTCCTCCATTCTTCCTTTAGAGGTTTCATCTTTCCTCTCAGCCTTTTCCCTGCTTTGGTGTCTCAGCCACCCCCTGCTGAAAGGTGAGCTTGCATGGACATTGCCAGGTCTCTCTGTGATCCCCTGCTCCTCAGGTGATCAGTGGAGAAAATCACTGACCACCTGGTGACAGTCTTCAATGTGTGACAGTGTGTAGGCACTGAGATAACCAACAACACCAATGATGTGGCACTTTATAACCCATGGTGAGTGGCCCCAGGGGCATGTGGCCTATCTGCCCTGCTGCACACCTCTGAAATCTTCACCCTTGCATCTCCTTCACAGTCCCCAGCACAATTTCCCTCCTCCTAGCCTCTCTCTAGGCTTGCCTTCCAATTCTATCCCTTACTAGCACCTCTGCCCTGCAGATGCCACACAACTGGAGGAAACAGCCTTGAAATTTCTCATGGCATTTCTTTCTTTTTTCTAAATATAGTCCCATGAACCCCAAATGTTTACCCTACCATAGCACTGACCCATCTCTATCCTTACAAGCCCTTCCCCTTTGTTGTCCTAAAATTGCCTCCTGTCCCATTGAACAAACTCCCCGCTTCCCTCATTGTTAGCTTCCTACAGGAGTTTCTGTTGTAGGGGAGAATCTACAGCCTCCTCCCCCCCCACCCCAAGGATCCCACTGGGCTCCACAGGGTTGTTTGCCAAGGCACAGTTCTCTCTTCATAGGAGCCTGGGGATTAGGCTTTATGAGACAAAGTACACTGGCCATCATGTTTTACAGTTGTGTCCAGAAGGTCTTTGATTATATGGCCTTCACCCTTGAAATCATCACAAACACCCCAAAGAACTCTATTGCAACATGATACAAAACTTTCATTCCCTTAACTCCCCATCTTTCCAGAAAAACAACCTGACCAACTACCAGGGATCTCTGGAGGTCATGGAAGACAATGTCCATACTGAAAGCTGATGATGTGGAATGACACATTGATGCTTTAGCCATCAGCCAGCTTCTGGCTCCTTTAGCCCTGGCATGACTGCAAGGACCTTCCCCACAGCTTTCTACACTCCACAGCAGTAAGGGCTGAGAAGAGACAGAAATAGGACAATGCCACCATCGCAGTAAGATCCCCTTACCCTCACTGCTTGGAAAGATCTGGTTTGCTACAATAGATTTTGGGATGATGATCACATGAACCCATGCTAACACAGGTGACACAATGGTGGGTGTTTAATGCAGGTCATCTGTAGAATCAGGAAGAGGAAGTCAATGAGGCCTTCTACAGACAACTGGTAGTAGCCTCATGATCACAGGCCCTGGTTCTCATAGGAGACTTCAGCCACCCTGGCATCTGCTGGGAAGACAGCACAGCTAGGAACAAAAAGTCAAAGAGGTTCCTACAAAGCATTGAGGATAATTTCTTGACCCAGGTGGTGGAGACGCCAACAAGGAGAGGTGCACTGCTAGACCGTGTACTAAAAAACAAAGAAGGTCTAGTTGGAGATGTGAAGGTTGGGGGCAGCCTTGGCTGCAGTGACCATGAGATGGTGGAGTTCAGGATGCTATGAGGAGGGAGCAGGGCAATGAGTAGGATCTCAACCCTGGACTTGAGGAGCGCTAACTTTGGCCTCTTGGGGGACCCACTTAGGGGAAACTCCTGGGGTAGGGCCCTAGAAGGAAGGAGTGTCCAAGAAAGCTGGTTAATATTCAAGTATCACCTCCTCCAGGCTCAAGATCGGTGCATCCCTCCGAGTAAGAAGGAACTCTTGGCAAAACTCCAACAGAAGAAGGAAGTCTACAGAATGTGGCAAAGGGGACAGGAATTAAATCTGTCAAGGGATGTCAAGGACAACAAGAAGGGCTTCTTCAAATCCATCAGGAGCAAAAGGAAGACTAGGGAAAACGTGGGCCCACTGCGGAATGGGGCAGATGTCCTGGTGACGAAGGATACAGAGAAGGCAGTTATTGAATGCCTTCTTTGCTTCAGTCTTCACTGCTAAGGCCAGCCCTCAGGAATTCCTGACCCTGGGGACAAGAGAGGAAGGCTGGAGAAAGGAAGACTCTCCCTTGGTGGAGGAGGATCAGGTTAGAGATCTTTTGTCCAAACTTGACATCCATAAATCCATGGGCCCCGATGGGATGCACCCAC